TACCTAAATACTTGAGTGATGAAATTGAACGAGTACAAAAACGGGTTCTTCGAATTGTATATCCGAACTTACATTACGAAGATGCATTGATGGAAGCTGGGATGGAGTCATTGTACGCTAGAAGGCAAATTGCCTGCAATAAACTTTTTGATCAAATTTAAAATAACCCGAACCATAAACTTCATAATTTAATCCCTAAAATAGATACTTCATTAAATTACCAATTACGAAACAACAAGAAGATACATGTTCTGAAATTCTATACTGAACGTTTTAAGAATTCGTATGTCATCGCTAGTTGTTTAGACATAAATAATCGTAATTCAACAAATTAGTGTTAGTTTTAATATTTATAATCTTCTAAGTAAGCCATAGCATAGGTTGTAATTTTTTAAATGTAAAATAATTTGTATTCAGTCTTATTGATATTGTAATCGCTTACCAATTCAGTATTTGTACTGCAAAAAGTGAATTATTAAACAATCTATCTATCTATCTATCTATCTATCTATCGATCTATCTATCTATCTATCTATCTATCTATCTATCTATCTATCTATCTATCTATCTATCTATCTATCTATCTATCTATCTATCTATCTATCTATCTATCTATCTATCTATCTATCTATCTATCTATGCTGCAGGTAGCTGCAGCGACACAGACTTGCCAACTGGAACTTCTCCAGGTCCCCCGCTAAATATGTGAACCAAATGTTATACCTCATAGCAATATGTATTATTAAAAGCAATGCATGAAGCTAGAAAACTCAACGTTAACTATAATTAAAGAATCTAAATAGTATAGGCTATTGAAAAGAAAAGCTGCGAAAGAGAGAGTGGCAAAAAAATTTTACATGGTGATGGGTAGAAAAAAAACTTGCACATAACGATCCCAGAAAAAATTCCCTGCCTGAGTAATCACCCCCCTCCCCCTCAAAAGTTAATTAAATGGTCGAGCCTTTATTTGAATAACATTCATGAAAAAACTTATCAATTCTGATTGGCTAAGAGGAGTGGTTGTTGTATTGCAATAGAATGCCAAAAAACAAAGATCTCCGTCGAAATCTCCATCTAACAAACCCTTGAATAATTATATGAACAAATGTCTACATCAAATTCTTGCAGCAAGTGATGGATAATCCAATGAGGAACATCGACAATAATCTTCGAATACTTTATCCAGAATATTATACCGATGGTGCATCGAATGATCCAGAAGGTACAGTAAATGTTATACGATGTGGACATTTTTCTTATTACTGAATTTTTGTAAAGTAAATTTGGAGAATCGCAGACATATAGATTACTTCATAGTTCACGGTTTTGTTTTGAGGTGATTCATCAGTTTTCCATTGCGCACCTTTACTGCGCAAATCTAATAACAAATTCTAGCTAATATATGTAATTGAACTAAAGAAAGAAAGAATAAGGCAAAGAGAAAAACACTCTGCATTGAGTAGGCGTGCTTCAGGGAACATATACCTTCAAAAATGACATAACTCTTGCTAGGGCTCCCTTTTGATTATCTAAAACGCCATGTTTTCTTGTATATAATCACTAGATAGACATTTGTAATAGGATCCTTGTTAAATAATCAATAACGCAATTGCGATTGTTCCTGTAACTCGTAAAAGGTTCAAGATGGCGCCATATTGGGGGAAAAGGTGGCATATTTCACTTGTCATATCTTCGAAACTAGTTCAGTGGCCCCAACTTTTTTTATCTGTTTTTACTATGAGCATATCATAAACTTCACCCCTAGGAACAGTTGCTGATAAATTAACTTCACGTGCACTTCTACACAACATGTATAGTTCTCAATCCAATCAGTGCATTCTTCACAAATGTGCAGTTACCAAGCTAACGAAAATATAACCCCACAAATATGTTTGTCTTGTGGATGCTCAAAAAGGTGCCAGAAATGTAGTCATTAAACATAAAATAATAACCATTTTCTGAGGGGGGGAACATCCGTAACCCCTATATCTTCTTCACAAAACGTTCAATTATATGCTGAGGTTGGAACAGAGGAGTGAAACAGAAATTAGACTGGGAGAACTAAATATTCGTCGCAGTTTCGATGCAAAGTTGTCTGATATTATATTGAATACTCATGATTCTCCATTACGTAGTTTGATACAGTTGTTGTGAGTGGTTAGATTTTTGAACAGGCGAGAACTTCGAAAGTTAAATCATCACAAGGATGCAGAAATTACCATTTAAGAGACTTTAGATTTCAAAATAGTTTGATGAAACATTTTCATGCGATCGGTCACGTTTGTTTGGCCTTCCTCCTCCCAACACAATCATTATTCTACCTTCTACGCAAATTAAGAGTCCATCATAAATTACAACTTCAAACGTTAAAAAGCTACTTTAGGTAATAGAATTTAAAATGTGGATAAGTCTGTTTTGAAAATTATTCATAAAAGTTAATCTCTTCACCATTATCATTGTAATTTTTTTCATCGCAATCATCATCAGAACTGTTTATTTCAAATTTCAGTATCTCAGTAATTGGAAAAATACTTTGAGCAGAATGACAAAAATTATTTACATTTCTAGATTTGCCAAGTTGGGAAATCAGTCGTGCTCGTTTGGCTGTTCTCGACATTATTCTTGGAGGGGGATATTTTGGAGTGGTTAAGGAAGGCGTGTTTATGCAATCATTATCAGGTGATCCGGAAAATCAAAAGATGCCTGTTGCTGTGAAGACGTTAAAAGGTATTCAACGTAATAGATAACTTCTTTCGCATAGTCAAACCAGAGCTTCTTTAAATTAACCGCAGTTAATATATAGAAGAGATTGTTTTGAAACTCATCAGAATAACAATGTGACTCATTATCTATGTTAGGCAACGTCTGTACAAAAATGATGTCCTTCGTTGTCACGTGCGTATTGTATTTTCACAAAATCCATCAATTGCAATTTTTCAGTTGCCGAATTGTTTAAGTCACGGATAGAAAACTTAATCTCCTAAAACATTACTATTGGTTGTTTGGGCAAAATACAATACGCTGTGATGACGAAGGACCACTTTTCTTAGTAAACCTAAACAAAAACGTAGATAATGAGTTCTATTGTAGTTCTAATGAGTCTCCAAACAATCTTTTCTATTAACCTGGAGGAGGGTCATGTTCACCAGCACCCATCCGGTAAACTATATGTCCCGAACGGGGAAAAACAGAACAGTGTTTTAATATCATCATGACCAAATTCAGTAGAGCGAATGAAATACATAAAAAAGAAGTGTCTGCAGAAAATTAAGCCCTTGCGGCTATAAGGTAAAAATACTCCCCCCCCCCGCCTCCTTCACGTGGTCAGGTCCTTTGTCCTTGACGCCCACCGATGGTGTTGGATAAAGACGTAGGATGAATGTTGTTGGGGTAAAGGCTCCTGCTCGTCAGCTGTTTCCCTAGCCCTATTTGATGGGGCAGGGGTGTAAGCGAATTTTCTCAAAGTAATTTTTTGCTACGTATTAAAGAAAATTGTTTCCTTGTTCCTTCCCTGAACTTGCCATATATTTAGAATTTTACTTATCCTGAGTTTTACTCAAATATTCTATTTTGACTCTTTCCTATCTTTGCCGACTAAGGAAACAATTTGCCGACTAACTGACGGGTAGGAGGGATCTTAATCCTCCAAGCCCCATTTTCAAAAGGCTTTTTGCGTTTAACTTCTTATTCAGAATATACCCTGTGCATATACACATATTGCAACTCCTCCATTCCACCATGTTTATTTAACCCCGCCGTGGGTTCAGCGCCGTTTTTTAAAGCAATGGAAAATATAACATTATCGTTCTTTGTTTTAATGTAGCTAATCGTGGTCAAAGCGATTGGAATGAACTGTTGAGAGAATTTGAAGTCTTACAGTATGTTAATTCAACAGGTCACGAAAATATCCTCAAATTAATCGGCGCGTGCACACAAACAGGTGTGAGAATAGAATATCATAACATAACATAATTTATTGGCGCCATTAAAATAAAAGTTACAAAGATGAGATATAAATAATTGAAATTATAAACTGAGATGACACAGGTTATCTGAATTAACTAAATGCTAAACTATTCAGATAACCCTATAATTGATAATTTGAGCCACTGTAGGTCAACATAAAAAAAAATACTTATTATTATTTCATTTTACTTAATTTAACAAGGGTCAAGCACATTGAACAGTATGGATAATTTGCTTACACCAATGCTTTCATCTTGAGCTAGACATGCTGTTGAGATATATCCACAAAGTTGCATGGTTTCAATGGTTGGTGAAAGTACTAAGCGATGAACTGAAATTCATTAAAATTCATTATAATCATTAAAATTCAAGTTTCCAGGAAGAACAACCCAACCTCGTACCCAGGGTATTTGCTCTTGGGGAGCGAAATATCCTGGTATGGCCTGGTCACGTGACCCGCGGATTTTGCGTAAAATGGCGTATTGTTTACTAGGGTCGGGGGAGTGAGAATACATTGTCACTCCTAGTAATTATATCACGCTTTGAAATTTTAATTACTAGGAGTGACAATGTATACGCACGCCCCCGACCCTAGTAAACAATACGCCATTTTACGCAAAATCCGCGGGTCACGTGACCAGGCCATACCAGGGTATTTAACTCCCCAAGAGCAAATACCCTGGGTACGAGGTTGAGAACAACCAAATTTTCCAAATAATGTTAATGAACTATGTAAAGTTGTTGCAAGTTAATTTATTACTTCTCTCAGCAATAAAGATTAATAAGCTTGCACTTGGCTGATTAATTAAGTAAAATATCTTGAACTGGAAAATATGACATATTTTATGCGCCCAGTTAGCTTTCAAAGGTGACCTTATAATCCGTGGTCTAGGCTAAAAATCTCAGAAACAGAAATGGGTGTGAATTAATATATCCATCGGTAGAAGTTGTGAAATTGCTACTGCATTCCCTGCCTTCTTATTGGTCGGAATTTAATTTCAATTGCGTACTGGCATTATATGTAGGGTTTCCTTACGAGCTATTGAATTTGATACAGGTGTGTAATCAATGATCAGCGATGAATTGTTATTTATGGACTTTGTGCAATTTAATTTGTTTCTAGTTCCAATCTTATTGGTTACGGAATTTTGCCCCAGAGGCAACCTGAAAGACTTTCTGAGAGAAAGCAGAGTTGATGAAGAACCCCACAAACAGTACAATAACATTTATTCCAAACTTACTGAAAGACAGCTTATCAATTTTGCCGCAGAAGTTGCAAAAGGGATGAAATTTTTGTTCGAGAAAAAGGTTAATAATGCAACTTCCACGCAATATAGCTAGTCGCATCCAAACGACAAAGATATACTGTAGAATTGTTTTAAATTTGCAGCTGAGTGTACAAATTTGACATATGGATATCAAAATCAATTAGAGCTATTTATTATCCATTTATGTCTTATTTAGAGTAATTTTTCATTTATCATTTTCATCTTCTTCTTCACCATCCTCACCATCACTACTATTAGCAGCAGAACCAATCATCATCAATCCTCATCAATCATCAAGATCACCATTATCATCATATTATTCACCGACATCCATCAGCATCAATCATAATAATTATCAATCACTATCGATCAGTAATCATTGTTATTATTATTATTAATCATCATCACTCGTTAATCATCTGCAATCATTAATTGATCATAGCCATTATTAATATCATTATTAGTTTCTTCAGATAATCATTGTGCTTATTTAATTACATCAATATATTCTAAAACAATGAACTATAGGTTGTTCATCGAGATATCGCAAGCCGCAACATCCTCTTGAATGATAAGCTCGTACCGAAGATTGCGGACTTTGGACTAGCACGAAAAATTGACGTCGCTGCGCATTATATCGTAAAAAAAAACGTAAGAACGAGTCGTATTTTATACAAAATAAATACTCCGAAACACCTGGTTAGACTAATTTCCTAGAAGTAACATTATTTGGTTTATTTCCTGGTCATTCTATCTCATTTCCTATGATAGTCAGGTTGATGTAACAACACATCTGCTTGTATTTGACTGGAACGTCCTTCTTAAAATAGCCAGACTATGTTTAGTTGTTAAATAGCCAGTGATCCCTGGTTCTTTATTCATCCAACATAGTCTTGTCAATTTAACCAAAAAATCCTGTTCAACTAACTAGACCATAGTAGAAAAAAAATGAAATAGCCGCCAGGACATTTAACCGGAAAAGTGTTATTTCCAACATAACAAGGAAAATTTTAACCAGAGGACATTCAGTAATTCTGTTTTGTTACACATTTATTTAAACAATGAAAAAATAAGACTTACTTTCGTTTCAGAAAATGCTACCTGTGAAGTGGATGTCCATTGAATCTTTAGAGGTGGGACGTTTTACTCCCGCTTCAGACACGTAAGCACAATTATGTTTTATTTAAAAGGAGCATTTGAATTTCTAACAATTAGTTACGCGTACTAATTTTTCAGTTGTTTATATATAGTTGGTCATATGGTGTACTCTTATGGGAAATCTGTACACTTGGTGAGTGAGTATTTAATATATTTGAAACCAGGAAGAGCAATTCTAATATGGCAATATACTTTGAGAAAGCGGTTTGTTCTTTTCATGTGTTCTTCAGTCCCACGAGTCAACAGTTTCCCCTCCTCAGTCAGACTCCCTTTTCTCTAAAATATATACTAGAAAATACATGCACGCAGAAACCCTCGCCTTGTTGACAAAGCCATTGTATTTTCCGAACGTGAAGTATTATTTGAAGTAGTTGTCGTGGTAACACGATAATTTTTTAAGAATATTTTTACAAATGAAAAATCCCCTAAAAATATCACTTTTATTTACAAAATTATCAATTTCCCAAACATATAATTATATGTTAGGTATGTTATTATACGTAATATAAGCTTCGATTTAAGGTAAAATTTAACCACAAACGCTTCGCAAAACGTTTTAAAGTGTTCTTTTAATATAGAACTAAACTGCCTTTATCGATGAACTTTGAGTTCGAAATAAAATGATTCCAAATTCTCCCATGCAAATAACTTTGTTTAGTATAATAAAAAGGGTAATCAATAAAGAAACACTGAAATAATACGCTGTCGACTTGTTTCATATTTATACGCAACCATCGGCTTTTAAAATAAATACAGTATATTAAAAGCAAACAATGCATTAATATTTAAAACAAACTTACCTTCGTTAACGTCGGCACCTTTACTCCCTTCTTTTAGCAATTCTTTTGCCTTTATTTCATCAAAAATCTTTTGAAATTTACAAAATCTTGCAAAAATGAAATATATTTGCAAGAAATCATCAAACCAATTTCGCTGTCGTCGTGCAGCCGTTATAATGCCAATTTTAAATTGGACCAATCAGTGTTGGCTATTCATGACAGTCCGCTATATTATGAGATCAGTGAGGATGACCACCTCCCGAAACACGCACAGTGACCCACGCCCGCGATCATTGATGAATTTTAGACTTCGCTAATGGTTTCGTTTCCCCGGGTGTAACTAGCCGGGGGGAATTAGCACCCTCGCACGGCCCTTCACGCCGTTGGCTCGGGGATAAGCAAAACATTGGAAGAAAAATGAAATTTAGAGGGGAGGTTTGATATTCTAGCTACTGGGATTTGCTTTGTGAATCTTATGCCATGTATTTTATGATCAAATGATTCAAAACCCTTTTAAATATGCTATAACCGTTGCATGTGTAGCAAATACCTTACACTTTTTAAATTTGGCAGTGGATTACATATTCTAAACCCTATAGATTTGATTTGTTGGAATGCTATATAGACTAATTATAAACAAGTTAGTGATCGAGTTGTGGCATTTCCGTAAACATATCATGCACGAATTTAATAACTAAAGATTTAGTCCAACTACAATAATAAATAATGCAACGCTGTATATATGCAATATTCTGTTTCAGAAAGTGCACACGAAATACAGTCCTAGGGCACGAAAAATACGGAACTTTTCTGGGGAAGAATGCCTCACGGCACTTGACGAAAGGCTATATTGTGAGGATTAGAATGGTGCTTGGGTTTTGTTTTAAAGGGGGGTAAATACTCGCCGCGATATTTACATTAGAAAAATTGGATAGAAATGTAATACGAAATCGCCTGTCGAAAAGGAGTTCGAGATCTTGTGTCTGTCCATATTTAAGATGTCGTAATTCCGGGGGGACACCGGGGGAGTGCGAGAAATAAACTGTTTTGAAGACAATATCTGGAAAATAAATAGCTGCTAATTATAAATTTCCAATTAGATTTCATCTGAATTACAAATTGTTGTCATGTACGATATGTAAATCGACTCTTTATAGCTCAACCATTGAAACTTTTATATTTGACTTTCTTATCAATCACACTAGCTGAAGAACCGTACGCAGACGTCTCGCCGTACGATATATTGGATTATCTGCTTGATGGTCACAGGATGAAGCGTCCGAAATACTGCAGTATCGAAATGTAAGTTTTAAATTAATATTATCAGCAAACGGTATAACATGATTATACGGTTTCAAAGGGTTATTGGCCTGTTTGCAGTCACATATCTCGATAAACGAGCTAAGCCGGAACTGCGAAACAACAACAAAAATCTTCAATCGTGGATATAACCTCTTAACAAAATTTTAACTTGATTTTTCAAACTTACCTAAAATATCCCCCTCCCCCACAAAGACAATGTTGTAGAATTAGTTTAAAATTTGGGCAAAATAATGGAACATTGGGTCAGGTTGAGGCGCCAAAAAGCCTAATGAAATTAGAATGCATGTTCATGAAATGATTCTTAAAATGTTGTGAGTTAATTGAATACTGAAAAGACTTCGTAAATTCGAGTTTCATGTTTATAATGACATGTGAAAGATAAAAAATTTGCTTTTTACCCTTACTTGTGACATATGTACATCGAGAATGCATATCCAAGATGGCGGAATGCACGCTGCTTTTGATAAAAATTTCGCTTTATTTTTCGAAAACCAAGTAAGATACGGAATAATTGTAAAAGAATTTTATATATCATTTTAAATGTTCTTTCAAATAAGACAAACTTAATTTATATTGCCATATCCCTTTAATCATCCCAAATTAGAAGCCTAAAATACGTTAGGCCCAAAGTGAATATAACTGCACGGAACGTTACCTTCAAATAAATCTTTTTCGTGACCGCAAACCTAGAACCCCCCAGACACGCGTGTCCGCATGGGGCGAACCCGCGTGCTTATATCATGATTGACTGATTGAGCGCTCTTTGCATGTGTGAAAAGAGAGGGACTGGCCTTCAAATTTGGCTTCAAATTTCAGGCTCGAGGTAGCGTCGGTAGATTGGTCAATAGTTTTGCCCCCTGATTCTAGAACGCTATAGTTGGTGTTCATTTTGGGTCAAATATCAATATATTAAGATAATAGGATAGCTATTTATCTAGTATAAAAATCGAAGCTTTGCAATCAATACCACTAAACATTGTTGGGTGCATTCTCCATTTTTAAATGCAATGATAGAAAGATCCGAGTTCTTCCGCTCCTTTAAACAATGCATTTGTTTCTCATTGCGGGACATCGGGAAGACAAAAAAAAGGGAAATCTCTGACAATCGTTCATGCGACACTAGACACTTCATAATAATTGTTTCGCTATCAACATTATCCCATACCTGTATTAAAAGCGGATTTCTGATTGGTTTAGAGCAAGTGAGCTTGTCGTCAAGCTCACCTGCTTTTTACCCGAACTCATCTGCTTTTCGCCGAACTCAGCCGCGAAACTGCTCACGTTGCAATATAAACAATAACAGTGGCGGACAAGATTAGCAGATAAACGTAAATTTTAAAGGTAATAAACGTAAAACTTTTTACCGTGACTAATCTACTGAGTCTGAAGAAAAACCAAAGAAAATAATGCAATAAAGGTAATCTCGCCGTAGATAAAGAAGTATTAAGAACCCAGTGGTTTTTTTGCCCGGGAAAATGTTGACAAAACATCGACGAATATATCGCAAAGAGCTTAAAATATGTTTATGGCTCGGTGTATGGGATACAAAAACCAAACATACTTGCAGGTTTTGTGAGTCTGTGATTGGACGCACTCATGAATCCCAGGAAATTCGAAACCATTCCAATAGAAACGCATTCAGAACAGATTGGTCAAATTCTTCAGTTTGCCAGTCATTCTGGGCCTTTGTATATTGCTTAGTTGTGGATATCGAAACAAAATATCCTTCTGGAAAGTATTTAGCCTTGGCTAAAGAACATCGTTTTCGGGATGGAGATATCTGCTTCAAATAGCTCGATGATTTAACAAATATATTTTGGTCTTTTCTATTATGCAGTATACTGTATATGATTTCGTAAATGTGCAAGTGTTTCCTGTAACAAGGGGCATCATATATTCCAGATTTTCCTTGATGGAAACGTGTTGGCAGCAAAATCCTGAAGAGCGACCACGTTTTAATGACATCTATAATTCACTGGGGGATATGCTGACTAATAATGAGGTAAAAATGACGAAATTTTTTAGTTATCAAAGGTTTCAAGATTTTTACGACACTTATTTTGGAACGAAAACATTTTTGCTCGACGTTTAATATTATGTAAACACGAATGTTTCTGCCACCACGATATCTTGTCCTGCAGAAAACGGGAATGATGTTACTAGCTATATTGAAAATTAGTTTTCCTTTGTTTGTTGCTGCTAAATGACTGCAACATACGACAACCCTTACTCATAATGGCGTTATTTCTGTACAGATCTATGACATTTGTTTGTATATGTCTCTAGGTGTGTCCACACCGGGCAAGCTGGAATGTCCGCTTGACCGCGATTGGAATAGAACCTGCCACCTTTGGTTGGCTAGTCCAATGCTCTACGAACAAAGCCATGAGGTCAAGTCGGTTCGAGGGGGGAATATTTTGAAATGCAGACTAGTTCCTTTGGTATCACTATACTTTTACAAAATATCACCCGATCGAACCAACTTGACCTCGTAGCTCAGTTGATAGAGGATAGAGCATTAGCCTAGCATGCAAACCAAAGGTTGCGAGGTCGCTGGTTCGATTCCCACCGCGGTCAAGCAAACGTTTCAGTTTGCTCGGTGTGGACACAATCACACACAACATCCGACAAACATATATCTTCACCTGAGTGCATAACACTAGAAACAGAAAAATATATATCATTTCTTCTCAGAATGAGGCAAATGTTACACAAACCGGAAACAATATCTTAAACTAATTGTTTTATTCATTCAAATAGTATCCAGATTTTCTATTTTTTCAGAGATGTTATATAAACTTGAAACCTTACCACGATGTGAACGAAACAATGATGTCGAAATCCGAAGATATTTTTCAAGAAGTTCCAGAAAAGTGTGCAGATTCAGACTCGAGTGAAGGCGATGGGAGTTGTTCGCAAGACAGTGGTGTATATGACACAGCGTTTTAACAAGATAGTGTTCTTACTGGAGAGGTTCAGATTTAGACTTAATTTGTACCGCTACCGTTACCATTAACCAATTAGATGCATTTAATCTACCCGATTAACCAATCAAGAGCATAGTTGTAGTGGAAGTGGAGATCAAACTACCCTGGATCCTTTGATTAAACCGCGCCAATCACAAAACAGAATTATTGGTTTTAGTACAGATTCTGTATTAAAACCACTAATTCTGTTTTGTGATTGGCGCGGTTTAATCAAAGAATCTCCCCGTTGAACCAGAGCCTTCACGACGTTTCAATTTATTATTTACTGTCGAAGGCTCTGGAAACCAGGATAAGATCAAACCTGAACGTTTCTATTTTCTTATTGAAAACATGGCTAGAAATTTCGTACACTGTGGAGTTAATTTAAAGCATGCGCATTGGGTGCTTAGAAATTAATCCAAAATGGCGTCTTTGGTATAAGATTTAAGCGGAAAATACACAAAATTAAAAATTTTAGTAATTTACGATTGTAAATTCCAACATGCGAACGTCTGAAACATTATCAAATTACACAATATATTATTTGTTAAATTATCGGAACAATTCGATCAGGCTGAATGGCAATCTCGTTCCCCGAGTCTGCGATCCCCGGGAAGGATCGTGAGGCTCTGGGATAATCCGTTTCAGTACGTGAGGAATCTGATTGGCCGTTGATATGGAGTGCGCAGTTCAATCTTAGCCAGGATTCCTGGCTTCCGGCAACGGATTATCCCAGAGCCTCACGTTCCTTCCCGAGGATCGCAGGCCGGGGGAACGAGATTGGCTAAATTGGTTCCCGAGCTCATCGATCGTCAACGTACCTGTTATTCACTCTATAAAGTCCTCTAAATGACAATATTTTGTATTCTGGAGATGAAATTATGGCCATACTTGCAACATTTTTCAACCATGCGAACATCAGAATATACTCCCGAATAGCGATACGCATTATTCACGCTTGATTTTAAGCCATTTTAGTCCCGTCTTGAAAAACGTTGTTTTTGAGGATCATAAGACTGCTAATTTATAGAGGCCATGATAGGCAAAATTTGAAAATGTAGTTGTCATTTTCGTATTCGTTTCATGATCTTTCCTCTCTCGTTGTGGCTCGAAAGCTCTCGAAAGCTGTTGCTACATATGTTACCATGGCCTTTACTGCAAGGGTGGGTAGTAGCGAAGTAGTTGTAGTTCGCTACTGTAGCGAACTACAATTTTCTTGTAGCCAGTAGTTTTTTACTACATTTTTAAAACAGTAGCTGTAGTTATAGCGAACTACATTTTGCCTAAAAGTAGCCAAGTAGTTGACTCCTTTTCAAACAGCAAATCGCTATTTGCTACTTTCAAAAATTGTTAACAACTTGATAGAATAGCATGATATTGAGACACGGTTTGCTTAAAATCGATACTCAATAGTCAATTTGCACTCCTGAACACTGTAGTGATTACAAAAATGTTGCTTTGTCACTTTGTGTTTACTGTTGCTACTCGTAAGTCGATTTGTCATAGGTTACATTACAGTCTAAGTTAGCATAGATGCTCCAAATACAGTAAAACTAAAAAATATAGCGGAGCGAAATAGTTCGCTACATTTTTTAAGCCGAGTAGCTGTAGTCAGTAGCGAACTACCTTTGTTCAAAAGTAGCAGTAGTTCTAGCTGACTACATATTTTTGAAGTAGCTGTAGTTATAGCGAACTACAAAAATTTTGTAGTCAACCCACCCTTGCTTTACTGTTGACCTAAGAGACTGTAGCTACAAAATATTCTCTCAAAGTCGCGGAAAAAATAAAATTAGATTGTTTACATTGTGTTGTTGCGAAATGTGTTGTTGTAAATCACAAATTAGTTTGTGGACATATTGAACAATCCCCTTATTATGTCTTTGAGAATCTACCTGTATGTTTTAAATATTTGCATAAAATATTGGAGCAATTGACATATTTTTAATCGCGATTCTGAATATTTGAAAAAAAAACAAGCGAAATTATTGTATATTACAGTTGAGTATTTTTTTAATGAAGCAATAATTCTTTCGACCTCATAATATTTCCAATTCCGTCGTTCTTTGTTGATTTCGTGTAAAAACATGCAGTACTTAAATTATTTAGTTCACCATTATAAAAGCGAACCGCCATCTTGAAAATTCCTGCAAATGAGCCTGCAATCCCATGCCGTTGAGTGTATGAAATTTCTAGCCATGAATGCACATTGCAATGACGAGCCAGACAGCTCCAGATTGGCAGCTCCAGATTGGCGAATCTGGAGCCAGCTCCAGATACAATTTCAATATGGAGCAGGAACGACTAGTTTGTAAACAAACTGCTTTGGCCGCTTAACTACCGATGGATATTCAATTTTTTTGAAAGACCATTTTTTCTTGTCATATTCCTTAGTACGTGATGGAAAATGAAAACATTATTCCGTTCCGTTCGTCCATGGTAGCTTCTGAAAGATCACTGTTTTTTCTGACAAAGGGAATGGTCAGCGGTCGGATAGATCGCAAAGCTCGTTTAAAACCTTATTTTGTTACCTTTATAATGAAAAACTAAAAAATTTGATCGATGAAAGGAAGGATAAAATTAACACAGCCGGGCCGTGCGCGAAATTAGACAGTTCGACTTTGCGCGAGTTATTTATCGCGGTCTCGCGACGTGGAAATAAGTTGACCGCATGAAATTACTTTTGAACACATTCTCCAGAACGGTCATCGATCAAATTTTTAAGTTTTTCATTATGAAGGTAACAAAATAAGGTTTTAAACGAGCTTTGCGATCTATCCGACCGCTGACCATTCCCTTTGTCAAAAAAAACAGTGATATTTCAGAAGCTACCATGGACGAACGGAACGGAATAATGTTTTCATTTTCCTTCACGTACTAAGGAATATGACAAGAAAAAATGGTCTTTCAAAAAAATTGAGTATCCATCGGTAGTTAGGCGGTCAAAGCAGTTTGTTTACAAACTAGTCGTTCCAGCTCCATATTGAAATTGTATCTGGAGCTGGCTCCAGATTCGCCAATCTGGAGCTGCCAATCTGGAGCTGTCTGGCTCGTCATCATATTGCATGTGCAGGGAGACGGCAAAGACTTTAATTGTCCGTGGGGGGGATGTAGGGGTCAAATTACTTGATTTTTCTAATTACGTTTTGCAATACCTAAAACAGTATAGTTGCCAACTCAGCTATCAAATATTGAATGTATTTTGTAGTAAAAATTATCCCACGTGTAGTCTTGATGAATTTGTTTATAAAGATGTAGGTTGATAGTAAAGTGTATAAGGTCATTTTTCTGGAAAAGACTATTGATGATTAAGAAATTGTCAATGTTTATAATAGCTGGAAGGTCGGAGATAAAAAATCTGATGTTAAAATAGAATGGCCAGAAATATAGCCACAGAAAAGTGTATTGAGTCACCAAGTTAACACATACTCTAGCTGTGACTAGAAATCTGCAGTCATTTACCTATACGAAAAGAATAAATGCATGGCTATAGTGTGTTTTCACGCGAACCGCTGTGACGTCACTAGAATTTAGCGTCCGCCATGTTGGTGGAGTAAAATGCGTCACGTGCGAGGAATTTACTAGTGTTTACTATAGCTGTGCCAAATCTGTTCGAAATATTCCTCAATAAGCCGGCTTTTTTGTAGTTTTAAACAGTTCAAATGACAAATCTAAAACGTAAAGATCTTTCTTTCTGCCGTGTGCCGAAAGTTATTAAAAATCAAGGCGAGGAAATGGAGATTTTGTGAACCAAACGCAGTCGAAGAATCGACGAAGATGGCTGTCGGCTATATTAAATTGGAGTCGCCGGAGAATACAGAAGAAATGATCAAAGAGAAGTTACAGAGAGTAAACGAACCTGGCGAGGTTGTTAAATGTTTATTTGATCCTATGACTATGGACGATATCGCAGACAATTTTCCAGAAAACTTGAGAAACGCCGGCCACAAGCCCATAACACAAACAGACGTTTCAACCACAACAGTTTGCATGCAGACAAGCGAGTGTCATAATTCTATGCTTCAAACCGAGTTTTAATTTCTGGGTAAACCATGCTCTGCTGACTTTTATTGATAGACAAACTAATCTCCTTGCAAGGGCACAGACGTTTTCAAGTTACAAGCATCATAACACTGTTAAAGTGTTAATTGGAATTATTGTGAACACAAGGTACTGTACAATTTGCTTTGTCAGTGAAGCTTGAGGTGGGAGGAATTCAGATAAGTTTCTGAGTGAGAACTGTGGTTTACTGGACAACCTTATACCAGGTGATTGGTTCTGGTGGATAGGGGTTTCACTGTCCATGAAAGTGTTCAGTTTCACCCAGCCAAATTGAACATTCCGGCATTCACAAAAGGAACAGACAAGAATGATTGCTACTGTCCGGATACATGTGGAAAGAATTATTGGTTTACTGAGACCGAAATATACCATTCTTCAACAAACTTTGCCAACTGAATTAACTGATTACCTTATTTGCAGAAAAGTAGAAGCTGTTCCTCTCATTGACAGAATGATTAAAGTTTGCTCTGCACTAGTAAACCTTTGCCTTCATACTATATACCTTTTGATTGAAGTAAAGTATTTTACAACATTATGTTTTCACCAACAAACAGAAACACATCTTTCAACATTTGAAAAATTGGTGGTCAAGTCTGAGAACCTCCTCTGAGAACCTCCTGGGCAACAGCATGTTGTGTAAATCAGGGGTGGATTAGTAAGCTACTTTAATTGTACTTTGTCAAAAAGAGACCCCTTTGCAGCTGCAAAGTAAAAAATCTACCCCTGTTTGTTTCACGACATGCTGGCTAATCTCAGCAATAATATTTCATGCAATTCTCATGGGGGCTTGTGATATGGGGAATAAATACATCAATATTTTAACTAGGCCTGTTTGAATACCATGAGCATTGAAACAATGTAAAAACCATGTCTGTTGGGACTGTATTATTGGTGAGGGGTTAACTAATTGATTGGGACACCCAACGACTTGGGGTAGGCCAGGGCAATAAACTATTTTAGGGTCCCATAGATATGATTTGACAAAGCCATATTTTGTGTAAAGTGCTGAGATTAGCCAAACGTTTGTCCAAAAGTTTGCAATCACACAGTGGTAGATTAACACTTTAACAGACCAATATATGACATTGTACAAATAATATGCAAAATAAAATGTTGTCCAGTTAAACAATATAGGGGTCCTGGTGTGCTAATCCGCCCCGAGTTTACACAACATGCTGTTGCCCAGTGGTCACCATATGGAGGTTCTCAGTCCTGACCAACAAAAATGTTTAATGTTTATCAAAGTCTTAAGTCTGTAATAATTTTCAAATGCAAAAAGTTTGTACTTTGATAGAGTTTTATGTATAATAATTTTAACAGTTAGTTCAATAAAAATGCAAACTGAATATTGGTGTAAGCTTTTTTATTTTGTGCTCTCAGCCGTCGGAAAAAGAGTAATGAGACCAGCTTTCAGGCAAGCATACAAGTAAGTTCGCATCTGTATTAATACATGTACATTATAAAATCGTGGGATATTTGGATCCACCGATGACCGATCCATTCATTCCTTTGTGTAAACAAGACTTGTCGCAAAAGCGATTTCAAATACACCACAATCTGAATCATTTGATATATGATCAATCATTTGAAATACACCACAATCTGTATTCGAGAGATTTTGCATGTTCAGACAAAGGAATCTCGTGAATAATTACTTTTTCTGCCTCGCTGTTTACGTTTAGTTTCGAATCGCTGGCCGCCATGTTGGAACTTCACTCCACCAACATGGCGGCGTATAAAATTAATTTATGCCGTGACGTCATGTGAAAACACACTATATGAACAAATTACACTTGTAATTTGAGCGTTCTGCTTAAATTAAATTAAATACGAGTCAATGTTTCAATGTAAATATTTCTGCGAGTATTTACCCCCCCCCCCCCGTTTCAAACTAACACCACATTGGAATCCTCACAAAATAACCTTTCGAACGGGGGTCGAATGCCGAAAAAACATTAGACAAACCGAAACAATCATATATTTACTCACCGCTTGGCCAAACAGTCTGCATTTCATATAAAGAAAAAGTAGAATATCTTCTAAACTTTTCGTTGCTTCACATCGGCTATATGAGTAAAATACTCTTTGTATTCAAGCGCTTTCGTATAAAAAGTTTCGTTTGGATACGGCGAGTAGAAATATTTATTTTGAATTTTTAAAGATATCGGGTTTTACTCGCATGCGCGTGTATTGCGTAATACTTGGCCTAAAAGGAGCTCCTTTAGCAGGGATGACGTCAAACTCACGCGTATAGGTGCACTTTGACCTTTAGAATCGATTGCTGGCATTTCCAGAGTCATGCGATACAATCCTCGCATTGTTTTGACGTTTTTAAATTTATTTCCGGTTCGGATTAAACGCACAATCGGGCCAGAAATGGAAATGCTGTGTACTTTTGTCAAATTCGAAGATACAGACTCGCAAATGACTCCCGAAATACGGCTGTTGACATTGATTTTAACAAGACTATTACAAAGAAGACACGTCCGAAGGGGACGAAGTTATATTCGGCGAAAGGTATGGCTAGTCTGTATTTTTTGTTCAGACAATTGTGTAATTTGATAATATTCGATCTCGCTTGACTTTCAAAGCTCATAAATGACTATAAAGTTAACATATTTTAATTCAGAGTCTCTGAAATGCCATTTCCTGGACTTTAGAGTAGATTTGACAGATTTCTGATTGTCAGAAAACAGCGTTTTTAGTTTGTGGAAATTTAGAATTAAGTAGTACTAAATGCATGGGCGAAGGTGTATTTAATTAACGATAGATTGGATAATATACCCTGGAGAGGGTCTGGGGTTTTCTCTCCCAGAAAATTTTTGTATTTTTCTACCCCTATGACTGCAATTCCCTGCATTTTCTGAAACAGATTTTTGGATATACAGCATTACATTATGCTGTAGATAGACTGAACCTTCAGTTAAGTACTTCATAGTATGTTTATGTAGATACCACAACTTGGCCGTCACTTAGGGAACCAGCTTGATAAACTTAGAGTTCCCGACTCCCACGAAGCGCCACCACGGTTGGCACAGAGCGAAAAAACTTTGAAATTTTTGCGTCTCTAAATCGTCGGAAATGGCATTTTCAAAGTCTTGTATACGTCTTTTGTTAGGCCCTTTCATTAATTCGTTCATTATGATTTGCGAGTCTATGATATCCGCGAGTCATGATGGATTACGAGAAATGTTATCAAAATATCGATTACAGATATTTGATTATATGTACATATGATTTCAAATACTTCTAGTTTCGAAATCAATTTTTATTTTTGCTGGGGGGCCAAAATTACTCCCCCCCCCCCTTATAAAACACTTGGTTGATGGCCTGTTGCCCCCTGCGGTCACTAACTTGTCCAACAACTCAAATCTATAAGGTCTAGGAAATGCAATCCACTGCCTGGGAAATGTTTTAAAAGCTAAGGTATTTATTAAACATAAAAGACAGGACATAAGATTCACAAAGCAAATTTCAGTTACTAGAATATCAAACCTCCCTTCTAAATTCCATGTTTTGCTTATATTTTAGAGAAAAGGG